GTACTTTTATATCCTAGTTTAGGTTGTGGATGTTCTAGTGGGTTGGGGTGTACTCACAAATCCCAACCTCACCCAATTGTGATCCCCACAATCTCCAATTACCCAATTGGAGATTCCGGAGATCCCAATGGGGATTCCCTCCAATTCCCCCTTCATCCATTCACTCTCACCTTGCCATGTACTTATAGAGCCTTGGGCTCCTTACCTAGTAAATCATTTCAACTCTGTTTCTTACATGGTATCAGAGCGACCTATCCGCACACGCGGATCAAGGTCCTAATCTGAACGTGCCCGCGCTACGCGCACTTCATCGTCGCGACATTCGTTTCGAGTCGTCGGAATTTCGACGTGCTCCACTCTGCAGTCGCGCCTCTCATCGTCGACCGCCTTCGCGCTCGACCTCGTTGAATTTTTCATCTCTGAAGCTTTCACGCTTCTCATCGTCGATTTCCTCCACGGTTCTCCTTGGTCGAATCTCAATTTCGACCATCTCTTAAAACTCGTTCTCGAGTTTCCCCTCAGACCCCGCCAGAATAGGTGAACTCCCCTAGCGAAATCGCCTCCACGAACGTCTCGCGTCAAATCAAGAGCAGGTACACAGGTTGAAGCGGAGCGGAGCTGGTTGCGGAGCTGGTTGCGGAGCTGGTTGCGGAGCTGGTTGCGGAGCTGGTTGCGGAGCTGTGTAGCTGCGGGACAGGCCCTGGTGGTGTATGGGGGGGTGTGTGGGTGCGGGGTTAGACATAGGCTCAGATTCAGTTTCAAGTCGGCGTTTTAATGAATTTTCGCCGACGCCATTTCCTACTTAGCGGCATTTTGGTACAGCCGTCAGAGTGATTTTCAGCAATTCTCGTCGACCAATTTCCAGAAGTGCCGCGCTGCACACCGACAATGGCTTACTCAACCACTTCACTCGCCAACCCGATCCCGCTCCTTCGTCTCGATCCGGACGGTACATGCTCCAACTACAAGGCTTGGCGCTATGGTGTCGACAAGCACCTCCTCAGTCGCGAGGTGAAGGGGCTCGAGCTCACCGACGTCCTTCTCAACATCGGTGACGGCAAAGAGCCTCCTAAACCCGAGAGGTCCGCCGATCCAGCTAATGCCGCCGCCGAAGCAGTTTATGCTGCTGCACTGCTCAAGTACAAGAATTGGGAGAAGGCCGATGGTGCGGTCATTAGTGTCTTCATGGGCACCACTCCTCCCGAACTCGTCGAAACCTACCACAACTACCCGTCTGCCAACGCCATTTGGCTCTACCTCAAGGATCGCTTCCTGAACAAGACTGCAGTGGGAATTGCTATACTCATCCCCAGCATGTTCCAAGTGCGGCTCGAGGACTCGCCAGGCATGGCGGACTATGTCACCAAGGTGCAGTCCATTCATGGTGAACTCAAACAGTTGGGGATAGTCTTCCCCGAGCAAGCCCCTGCAGCCGCTCTCCTAGTCGGCCTCACTCCGGCATACGAAGTCACACGCAAGATGCTCTTGGGCCTTGCTCCTGCGGACCTCACATTTGCCAAGGTCTCATCTGCGCTCCTTTCTGCCGAAAAGGACAACAGCGCTCAAGCCAAGGCCAATGCAATCCGCGCTCCCATGCCTCAAGCCTATGCCCCTTCGGTGCCATTCCAGCGCAACCGCTTCCCCCCGTGTCCCTACATCATAAAGCGCGGCCCTCGTGCTGGCCAGGTGTGTGGCAGCACCAACCACGCCCTTGCCTCCTGCTTCAAGAAAAAGGATGACGAGTGGTATGCCGTCAATGGGACCGCCTCGAAGCCGCCAAGCTGGATGGTCAATCGTGCTCCTCGCCAAGTCAATCAAGTCGAAGCGCAGGAATCTGTGCAGGCTGCTGTGGCTGCACCTGCTGATGTGCGCCTCCAGATGTTGTTTTCTGGCACTGCCATGATTAATGAGACAATTTCGCAGTGTCCCGGCTCACAAAGCACCTCAGCCACAATATAGTTCACCCTCGACAGTGGGGCCACTCACACGGTTCTCAAGGAAGAACACTCCTTCAAGCCATACGAGACACCAATCCGTCTACTTGGAGCAGACTCCAGTTTCACAACACACGCCAAGGGCTCCTCTACAGTTCCGTGCCGAGCTTTTCCTTCGGGCAGTGTAACTGGCATGTGTGTTCCCACACTACGCCACAATCTCGTGGCTCAACACGAGCTCCAACGGGCAGGCGTCACCACGATCTTCCCAGCACACTCGGATCACTGTGACCTCTTCGACCCTAAGTCCAACAAGCTCCTAGCACGCTTCACACTCAACAGCAGCAAGCTCTACACGCTGCGTTCACCTGCACCTCTCGCCGCCCTCTCCCAAGCGCAAGCTGCCAGCACCACTCCGTGTTCGTGTCGCAGCTTCGCCAACCCAACCATCCTCTACCACCATCGCTTGGGTCACCCCAACTTCCGTACACTTGCCGACATCGCTTCCAAGAAACTTCTTCTTGGCCTCCCGTCGGCGCTTCCTCCACCAACAGACTCACCTGCACCCACCTGCCTGGACTGCACCAAGAGCAAGCTCAGGCAGCAGCCGCACCGTTCCTCCCCATCCGTCGCAGCTGCTCCGCTGGACCTAGTGCACATGGATGTCTGGGGCCCAGCTCCAGTCGCATCCCGAGGCGGTCATCGGTACTTTCTTACACTAGTCGATGACCACTCGCGGTACGTTTCTGTGCACCTCTTGTATACCAAGGCGGAGGCACCTGATGTCATCATGGCGTGGGTGCGCCAGGCTCAAGTCACGTTCGGCACTCCTCTGAAGTGCCTCCATTCTGATGGCGGGGGAGAATTTCGCAATGGCAAACTCGATAACTTCTGTGCGGCCCAAGGGATTCGGCAAACCTTCACGCTCCTCGAAAGCCCGCAGCAGAATGGCATTGCAGAGAGCCGCAACCACACCTTGGTTCAGATCGCTTGCTGCCTCCTCAGTCACGCCAACGCACCACGGTCACTCTGGGGATATGCCCTCTTCCATGCGGCACTCCTCTACAATCTTTATCCGCATCCCCACCGGCCCGACATCACACCTACCGCTCTCTGGCTTGGGGTCACGCCTTCCGCCCGCTCTCTACGCGTCTGGGGGTGTACCGCGTATGTGTTGCTAAGCCCCCACACGCGCAGGAAGCAAGGTGGCAAGCTTGGTCCCAAAACCCAGAACTCCGACTCCCCAGACTACTTATTCCTCAACCCAATCACCAGACAGCTGATTCGAAGCCGTGATGTCGTCTTCGATGAGACACGCCCATTCCACTCTGCGACCATGGGCGAGCCTCCTCCACATCCCCCGACGCTTGTTCGGGCAGACTTCGATGCCCCACCTCCGGCCGCTGCCCCTTCTCCGGGGCCTTCTCCGTCCGGCGTGTCTCACCCGGCCTCCCCAGTATCCTCCGCAGCGGCACCTCCTCCTGCTCCGCCTTCCCCGCGCGTCGAGCCCGGCTCACCAGTCTCCTATCGGAGGCGCCCAGTCCCTCCGGTCCCACCGCAGCCGCCTTCGTCTCCGGTCTCTAGTCGCACTCGTTCCAAGGGACCGGCTCCGCCTCTCGCCTGGGGACCAGCCGCCTTCTCCATCCGGTGTTCGGTCACCCCGCCTCCTCCTGCCGAGGGTGATGTCCCCTCCATCCGTATTCCCCCCCGTGCACTTCTGGAGGACAGGCATGAGGAGCTGTTTGACCTCCACGCGGTCTGCCAATTTCTCTCTCACATCTTCCCGAACATTACTAACTGCCCTTCCCTCAACTTCACCAAGAACCCGACCATTCCGACTCCTCGCACAAAAGAGGAAGCTCTCTCGGGGCCTTATAAGAAGGAGTGGAAGGCAGCAATGGATGTGGAGAACGAGGCGTTCATTCGCAACAACAGCTTTGACGATGTTGTCCCCCCTTCCGGTGTCAACATCGTCGGCGGAAAATGGATCTTCCGAGTCAAACAACTCCCAGGCGAAGCTCTGTTAGAATATACCATGCTATGCTAGTTGTGTATATTGTGTTTACATCCCTAGTTGGGTGTACACCTGTGTTGGGGTGTCAATCCAACCCAATTGTGGTTGGAGCCCCCAAACACAAGGACCACAATTGTGGGGGCACCACAAGTGGGTTGGCTAAACCACTGGTGGTACACCACACTTGGACCACCTCCAACTGGTGGTCAACCATATTTGGAAGGAGCCTCCCTCCCTTGTGATTGGTCCTAACCCCCCCTTCCCTTCCAACCTTCCCTTCCTAGCTCATCTCTCTCTTCCTATGTAATGCCTTTCCTTCATCAATAAACTGAACCTTTCTGTTTCTAACATGGTATAGAGCAATAATGGCTCACGCCAACTTTTAAATCCCGATCCTTCCCCACGCTTCCGCCCCGTCCCCTTCCGACGTGCACCTCATTGCCGTCCCCTCCATCGCCGCTGCTAGACTCCTAGCCGCCGCCTCTCAACTAGTTTTCTGTTGGGTGGATTTTCAAAAACCCCCAATGCGCCAAACGCCATAGCTCGCTCGATAGTTGACAGAATTGAGTGATTCGACTTGCAAAAGAACGCTCTTGGTGTCAGCTACAACGTCGTAAAATTTCGGACTGTTTCATCGCTTGGATTGTCAGATATCGCTTTCCGAAGTTTGCACACTTTCCTGGATGTGATCACGAAGTGCTACTGAAATTTCTACCAAGTCCTATTTTCATCAGCTAACTGCCATCTTTCCCCATCTTTTGCCTCCTCACCTGCACCTGCTCATCGCCGCCTTACCACTGCTGCAGCCGTAGCAGCAGCAGCAGAAGCAGCAGCAGCACCAGAAGGAGCAGCAGACTCAGCAGCAGCAGCAGCAGCAGCTGAAGGAGTAGCAGCAGCAGCAGCAGCAACAGCGGCAGCAGCAGCAGTGGCAGCAGCAGCAGCGGCAGCAGCAGCAACAGCAACAGCAGCAGCAGCAGAAGGAGCAGCAGCAGCAGCAGCAGCAGCAGCAGTATCTACAGCCATCCCCATCCTCCCCTCCTCTTTGAGCCGCCGCGGGTCCACCCGCCGCCGCTCCCTCCCGGCCACCGCGGGTCCACCCGCCGTCGCCTTCCTCCCACTCCGTGTCACCAATGTCATCCTTTCCCCCTCCCGTCGACGTCTCGACCCTCGATCATCTCGTGCGCGCTGCCGACAACTCAGCAACCAATTGGTATTCCTTCGTCGGCAGCCTCCACCGCGTCCTCGGCAGTGCTTATGTCCTGCCGTTCCGCCTCCTGGACATCATGCTTGGTCTCCTAGAGGGTGACCTTGGGGACCCGCCGCCTCACCCTGGCGATCCCCCCCCTCTCATTCCCCATCCCGGCGAGGAACCTTCGCCCCCCATAGTACCCGTTGGCACCAGCACTCGCGCTGCCACCGCTGAAGTTGAGCAGCTCTTCCTTACTCAGCGTCGTGAGTTCCTCGTGCTCCATACTGATTACCTGATCGCGTTGGAGGAACACGAGCGGTCGGCAACCCTCCGCACCCAGCATGCCGCTACCGCCGCCGCTTATGCCGCTGACTCTGCGCGATTTGCTGAGCGTCGTCGCGCCTGGCTCGAGGCGGACAGCCGTGCTACTGGTGCCCTTCTCCTTGCCATCCCGTCTGCGCTCATGCGCAACTTCCAGGCCCGCCAGATTTGGCTCGAGCTTGAGGCAATGTTCGAACGCACCGACTTCGATGCTGTCGGACCGCTCTTCAAGGAATACTTCAGCATCACGATCGAACACAGTGCTGGCGCTGTTGACTACACCAGCCGTCTCCTGGACCTTGCCTCCCGCCTTGAGGCTCGCCAGACTACTCTCCCCCCCAACCTTCAGATCTACCGTCTCCTCGAAGGCCTCTCCCCTCAATATGAAGTGCGCGTCATCGCCTTCACTGAGGCTCAGCCCCGCGCCTCCCTTGACACTGTGGTCCAATGGATCATTGACGCTGAGGCCCGCCTTCTCTCAACCCCCCCCTCCGGCCTGAACTCCACCGCGTCCCAAAACCCCCAGCTTGCAGTCACACAGCCGCGTCGTGGCGGGCGCCCACGTGGCGGCCGCACCAACCCTCAGGGAGGGGGTGGAGGTGGCGGTTGTGGGGGCAGCGGAGCCGGCGGCGGTGGTGGCGGGGTCGAGGGTGGCAGCAGTGGTGGTGGTGGAGGCAGTGGTGGCTCATCTGGTAGCCGTGGTGGCCGCCCTGGCACTCTTCCCCCATGTTCCTATCTTCGCCGTTTTGGTCCCAGGGCGGGTGAGCACTGCACCCAAACCAACCATCCCCCCGCAACCTGCTTCAAGGCGTATGATGACGCCTGGTTCGAGCGCGGCAACACTGGCACCCCCCCACGCTGGTCTGCCATGGATCCCCGCCCCTCTCTCCAGGATGTCAAAACTCTTCCGTCTTTCCTCCCCTCTCATCTTCAGCTCTCCTCCTCCTCCTCCTCTGTCGCTGACCCCATAACTCCCCAGGAGCTGCAGCAGTTTCGCCGCTTCCAGCAGCTGCAGCTGCTGCAGCAGCAGCAGCAGTGGGGCTCTGGTGGTCAGGCTGCAGCCGCAGCTGCAGGAGCCGCAGCCGCAGCATCTGCATGGCAGCAGCAGCAGCTTGGCTTTGGCACCGCCGCCATGGCTGCCACAGCCACACCAGGTCCTCCTGGCTTTCCCCTCTGGGGCTCTCCTTCCCCTAGTGCTCCCGCCTCCCACTCCAGCTTTCTAGGCGAGCTCATGCGTTCTTCCCCTGCTTCCACTTCCATGTATCCCTCTGTTTTTAATGCCAGTGATTTCCAGTACCCCGTGTCTTCAGCTCCCTCCTCGCTCACGATTGACTTTGTTCTCGATAGTGGTGCCACTGAAACTGCCCTCAAAGATGCCGGCACCCTCACCTCCCTCCCTTTCCCCACCAACATTCATGGTGCTGATTCCAGCTTCTCCATCCCTTGCACTCATCTCTCCACCCTCCCCTGCCCCCCCTTCCCCTCTGGAGTGGTCACTGGTCTCCACATTCCCTCCCTTCGTCATAACCTGCTCTCCATTCGTGAACTCCAACAGGCTGGCATCACTACCCTCTTCCCCGCCTCTGCCACCTACTGTGACCTCCTCCACGGCCCCACTCGCCGCCTCCTTCATCGCCTCCCACTTTGCCCTCGCTCTCGTCAGTACATCCTCCGCACACCCCGCCCCTCCTCATGCCACGTGACCACTCGTGCAGGCACCTCCACTCTCCCCCCTCCCCTCCCTCTAGAGCCACCTTCCTCCAACTCCACCTCCTCCCCATGCTCTTGTCGCGCACTGTCCCACCCCGCTGTTCTCATCCACCACCGCCTTGGTCATATGAACTTTCCCACACTTCGTAAAGCCATCTCCTCCCGCTTGCTTGACGGTCTTCCCCCCACTCTTCCTCCCCTCCCGTCCTCTTCCGCTCCCCCATGCGCCACATGCATTCATGGAAAGCTCAAACAACAGCCTCACCTCAGTCATCCTTCCTTTGCTGCTGCCCCCCTTGACCTCGTCCACATGGACCTCTGGGGCCCTAACCCTTCCCCTTCCCGCCAAGGGCACCGGTACCTGCTTGTCCTAGTCGACGACCACAGCAGGTACTCTTCGGTGTTCCTCCTCCACACGAAGGCCGAGGCCCCTGCTGTCATCGTTACCTGGGCCGAGCAGTGCCGAGTCCACTTTGGTCGCCCCATCCGCCGCCTCCATTCCGACGGCGGTGGTGAGTTTCTCAACCGCATCCTCTCCTCCTACTGCTCAACCCATGGCATCCAGCAGACTCATACCCTTCCCCACTCCCCTCAGCAGAACGGTGTTGCTGAGAGTCGCATTCGTGAGATCACCAAGACGGCCCGCTGCCTCCTCACTCATGCCTCCACGCCCCCTTCTCTTTGGGGCTATGCCCTTGTCCATGCTGCTCTCCTTACTAATCTTTAACCACATCCTCAACGCCAGTCTGTCACTCCCACTGAGCTCTGGGCTAGCACCAAGCCAGATGCTGCCATTCTCCGTATCTGGGGTTGCAAGGCATATGTCCTCATCCCCCCACCTGACCGCTCTCGGCAGGCAGGAAAGCTCGCCTCCAAGGCCATTGAGTGTGTCTACCTTGGCCACGCTCGCTCTGCCCCTGGTTACCTCTTCCTTCACCCGTCCTCAGGCCGCCTCCTACAGAGCCGTGACGTGGTGTTCGATGAGAGCATCCCGTTCTATCATTCTGTTCCGCCTTCCGACCCCCTTCCTCCTCTCTCCCGCCCCCTCACCTGGGCTGATGCTGTCATTCCCCCACTCCTTCCCCAGGCTCCCCTCCTTCCTCCAAATCCTGCTCCTCCCCCTCCTCCTTCCTCAGGTGACATTTACGACCCAGCTGTCCCTGACTCCCCTGCTCACTCTGCCTCATCGCACCAGCACCAGCAGCAGCAGCAGCAGCAGCAGCAGCAGCAGCAGCAGCAGCAGCAGCAGCAGCAGCAGAAGGAGCAGCAGCAGCAGCAGCAAGAGCAGCAGCCGCAGGTGCAGCAGCAGCAGCGGATGGAGCAGCAGCAGCAGCAGCTGGTGCAGCAGCGGATGCAGCAGCAGCAGCAGCAACCGCAGGCAGTGCAGCAACAGCAGCCACAGCAGGAGGTGCAGCAGCAGCACCAGCAGCAGCCACAGCAGCAGCAGCAGCAGCAGCAGCAGCCACTGCAGCAACCTCATCGGCATCGCCGCACCACCTCTCCGTTCATCCTCCCACGCATCCACACTCGCTCTCACGGCCCACTCATAGGCCATCCATGGGGTTGGCCAACACCACCCCTACCCTCCCTTCCCTTCATTGAGGACTCCCATGAGGAGCTCATTGGCGTTCAGCAACAAACACCTTCCCTCACGCCTCTCTACCCGGGCTTCCTTGGCCTCCTCATCCTTGGCATCGCTACCGCTCCCACCAGATTCACTCCGTCCAACTTCCTTGAGGCCATCACCTGCCCCGATGCTGCCAAGTGGATCCAGGCTATCTTTGCTGAATGCGAGGCCTTCATCCGCAATGCCTCATTCGTTAACATTGTCCCCTCTCCTGAAGACGTCATTGTTGAAGGCCTCTGGGTGTTCCGAGTGAAGCAGCTGCCGGGTGAGGAGCCGGTCTACAAGGCCCGGTATTGTGCCAAGGGCTTCACCCAAACCCATGGCATCGACTACTGGGAGACATTCTCTCCCACTGCCAAGCTCCCAACTCTCCGTGCCATCCTCGACTATGCTGTTCGCATTGGCATGGAGATTGCCTCCATGGATGTCTCCAACGCCTTCCTGCAAGGCGAGCTCCAGGAGCGGGTCCTCTTGCGGCGGCCTCCAGGCTTTCATGCAGCCTTCCCTGCCAACACAGTCTGGGAGCTGCGCCGCCCGGTTTATGGCCTCAAGCAGGCTCCTCGCGAGTGGCACAACAAGCTGGCCGCCACTCTGCAGTCCTTGGGGTTCCATGCCTCTCAGTCTGATGCCAGCCTTTTCCTTCGCTCCTCTCCCACCCGCTTCTTCATCCTGGTGTATGTCGACGACATGATCCTGTTCGCTGACGATGCTGCCGCCATGCAGCAAGTGAAGGACGCCCTGCATGCGCGCCTCAAGTGCAAGGACCTGGGTGAGCTCAAGCACTATCTGGGCATGACCATCACCCGGGACCGCACATCGCGCACCATTACCCTCTCTCAGTCCTTCTACATCGACCAAGTCTTGCAGCGGTTCGACATGGCGCAGGCCAAGCCGGTTACCACTCCCCTGCAGACCGACCACCAGCTTGCCCCTCCTCCTGCTCCCTCCTCCTCTGACCATCCTTACGCTGAGCTCGTCGGCTCGCTGATGTACGCTATGATGTGCACCCGCCCCGACCTTGCCTACCCCATCAGTGTTCTTGCTCGATTCGTCGGTACCGGTCGCCACACTGATGAGCACTGGGCTGCAGCGAAGCGGGTCCTCCGCTACCTCCGTGGTACCAAGGACTATGTCCTCACCCTCGGAGGCTCTTCTCCTCCCCTCCTCTCTGGCTTCAGTGACTCCTCCTGGGCTGACTCCCAGCCGGATCGCCGTTCCTCTCAAGGCTACGGCTTCACCCTTGGCAGCGGCCTCATCAGCTGGCGCTCCACTCGCTCCTCCTCCATCGCCCTCTCATCCTGCGAGGCTGAGCTCTATGCTTGCACCATGGCCGCTCAGGAGGCTCGCTGGCTCACCTTCCTCCTTGCTGAGATCGGTGCTCCTCAGTGCTGTCCCACCCTCTGGTGCGACAACGCCAGCACCATCCATCTCACAAAGGACCCTGTCTTCCATGGCCGCTCCAAGCACATTGAACTCCGCTACTTCTTCGTTCGAGAGTTGGTCCAGCAAGGTCACTTGGTGGTCCGCAAGATCGCTGCAGAGGCCAACTTGGCCGACATCTTCACCAAGGCCCTCCCGAAGACCGCGCACTCTGCCCTCCTCCGCCTTCTCGGCCTTGGGCCCCGCCCCCCTTCCTGATTCTGGGGTTGTACCCTACATATACACTAGCTTTGCATGCTATGGGGTTGTGTTAGAATATACCATGCTATGCTAGTTGTGTATATTGTGTTTACATCCCTAGTTGGGTGTACACCTGTGTTGGGGTGTCAATCCAACCCAATTGTGGTTGGAGCCCCCAAACACAAGGACCACAATTGTGGGGGCACCACAAGTGGGTTGGCTAAACCACTGGTGGTACACCACACTTGGACCACCTCCAACTGGTGGTCAACCACATTTGGAAGGAGCCTCCCTCCCTTGTGATTGGTCCTAACCCCCCCTTCCCTTCCAACCTTCCCTTCCTAGCTCATCTCTCTCTTCCTATGTAATGCCTTTCCTTCATCAATAAACTGAACCTTTCTGTTTCTAACAAGCTCCAGTGTTCAAGGCACGATACGTGGCAAAGGGTTTCACCCAGAAGGAGTATCTCGACTTCTTCGAAACATTCTCGCCCACAGCCAAGCTCCCGACTGTGCACGCTCTTCTTGATATAGCCACTCGCGGCAACTTCGAGATCAATTCCATGGACGCCTCCTCCGCCTTTCTCCAAGGCCAGCTCAAGGAGGATGTTCACATGGAACGCCCACCGGGGTTTCGTGGCACTTATCCTGCCAACACAGTGTGGAAGCTGAAGCGCCCAGTGTATGGCCTCAAGCAGGCTCCTCGTGAGTGGCACAACAAGGTGAAGGAAGTCCTCCTCGCACTTGACTTCCATCCCTCTGCCTCAGATTCCAGTCTCTTCGTTCGTCACTCCTCCGAGCCCTTCTACATCCTCGTCTACGTCGACGACTTCATTCTAGCCGCCAGAGATCCAGCCGACATGGCAGCTGTCCAGTCTGTTCTCAGCTCCGCCCTTCTCATGAAGGATCTTGGTGACCTCAAGAAATACCTGGGGATGGAGATCACTCGTGACCGCCAGGCTTGCACCATCACCCTCTCCCAGGAGTCCTACATCGACAACCTTCTCAAGCGGTTCGACATGGACTCCAGTAACTCTGTCTCCACTCCACTCCCACTACAGCATCAGCTCACGGCCCCTCCAGTTCCTTCTCCTGACGCCTGCAAGGACCCGTACCCTGAGCTAGTCGGTTCACTCATGTATGCCATGATGTGCACTCGAGGTGACCGAACTCCGGATGGAGAAGGCGGCTGGTCCCCAGGCGAGAGGCGGAGCCGATCCCTTGGAACGCTCCTCCCAAGGGTACTGCTTCACCCTTGGTAGCGGAGTCATCAGCTGGTGCTCCACTCGGTCCTCTGCAGTCTCCCTGTCGTCCTGCGAGGCCGAGCTCTACGCGGGCACAATGGCTGCTCAAGAGGCACGCTGGCTCTCCTTTCTCCTCGCTGAGTTAGGCTACCCCCAGCAGTCGCCCACCCTATGGTGTGACAACCAGAGTGCCATTCATCTCACCAAGGATCCTGTGTTCCACTCTCGCACCAAGCACATCGAACTTCGTCATTTCTTTATCCGAGATCTTGTTCAGAGTGACCAGCTGACGGTACGGTACATCGCCTCAGATTGCAACCTCGTCGACCTCTTTACCAAGGCTCTCGGCAAGGCTGACCACCATCGCCTTCTCCGTTCCATGGGGTTATGTGCTCCTTGATCGGGTTTGCAGTCTATGGGGGTGTGTTAGAAAGAGACTACAAATACCACTTTTGTATTTGTACTTTTATATCCTAGTTTAGGTTATGAATGTTCTAGTGGGTTGGGGTGTACTCACAAATCCCAACCTCACCCAATTGTGATCCCCCCTATCTCCAATTACCCAATTGGAGATTCCGGAGATCCCAATGGGGATTCCCTCCAATTCCCCCTTCATCCATTCACTCTCACCTTGCCATGTACATATAGAGCCTTGGGCTCCTTACCTAATAAATCATTTCAACTCTATTTCTTACACAGTATGCCAAACAACACGCCAAACATGCCACACAACATGCCAAACATGCACCTGATATAAGTCGTACTGTTTCCTCATCTCCTTGTTGTAAAGAATCTAGAGGCCAGCAGCCAAAAGAGAGTGGATGTTTTATGCAGGTTGTACATGCATATGAAAATAAAGCACAAAAAATTACAATGATCCTGAACAAAGAAACAGATTGGGGAGAGACATAGAAGGGGGGTGAGGGAGAAGGGGGGGGGACGGGGAGAAGGTGAGGAGGGGAAGGAGGGAGGAATGGGAGGGAGGGAAGAGGGGCAGAAGGAGGTTGAGAGGTAGGGGGAGAGGGGAAAGATGGGGAAGAGCGAGGGGAGAGGGGCAGGAGGGAGGGAGGAGGATAACGGCAGAGGGAACATGAGAGGGGGGCAGGGGGAGAAGGGGACAGGGGTGAAGGAGGGAGATTCGGAGCAATTGCTAGCTGGAAGACGGGAAAACAGCGGAAGAGAACGAGGTGAATGAGTGCGCTCTACGAGACCTCTCAACGTATAGGCATTCGCAATCTGAGCAAACATAGCTTTGGCTTCAGGACCCGGATTCTCGTCTGGGTGGCTGCAGGGGTTGCGGACGAGGAGACAACGGGACGATGGGGTAGGCAGGGGTGGTGGTGAGGGCGTGACGAACACAAACTAAACAAGAAAGTCAGATTTATTTGTGAAGGCCAAACAGCACGATGGCTTCCTTGATGAATGGAAGAGTGAAGGCGAAGTCAATAGGTGGGCCTACACGTTCTGCAAAAAAAAAACAAGGAAAAACAAAACTGTTTCACAAGGAATTGATATTGTGGTGGAAAAGGACAATTACTATTTGAAGGAAAGTTTGTAGCATACTGTCTTTATATTGGATTGCGATGCGCTGTGTTTAATCCTATTGTAATCGTCAAGCAAATACTACGTGGAAGGCAGAAGAAGTGAAAGGAGGGTAAAAAGAAAATGCAGGAAACAAAGAAGGAAAAATAAGAAGCCATTTTAAAGAACAGACCTTGGACGGTGTTTCAATTGAAATGAGAGAAGAACCACATGAGGCAGCAGCAAGTTTCATGGGAGCTTCGTAACTCGAAGCTTGTCATTCATCGTCGTCACTTCAGGCAATTCTACCCCTTCCCACCCTAGGAACTATTTGGTAAAATTTACGTGTTACACCAATTTTCTGGTCATAAATCCTGAGCTCATGTATCTAGTCCTCATGTTCGCTCTGCAAGGCATGTTGCACAACTGTACCCAAGGAGGTGATAACAGTTGTGCTTTCCGCAGTTCAGAGCCGTAGCTGAGAGCACGATGCTCGCAACGAGCAATGCGCGTGCCGCAACCAGCCATGGCGACGAGGGGCACATGCTGCTACAGCTGCTCGACGTGAGAGGTGCAATGCAGGATTCGTGAACTGAGAGCTACTAACGGGAGGAGGCAATTCGCGGAACTTCGTTTCACAAAAGAGTTCTTGATTGGAAGTCGACCCAAGGCAAAGAGCTGTTAAAGTGCGGATTTCAATGTTATGAATTAATCTGAGTAATAACAGGTAGTGTAATAAAGGAGTTGTGATTCAAGAGTGTCGATACAAATAAGGGCCTAGGCATTTATAGGCACGAACAGAGCTAGCCGAGAACCACGCGAACAGGTTGGGGTGATTCGGTTGGCGAAAGCCACGGAAGCGCTGCGTGTCGAGGTTTGAGTTCGCGAAGTGGTTCGAGACCGAAGAAATTGGCCGAGCCTGGACTTCCGAGAGTCAAGGGCATACGCGGTGTAGTCGAGCCCAGTAAGGAAAAGGGAATTTCCTTACACCACCCCCCCTTCCGGGATGAGACTACCCACATCCCGGACATGTCGTCGGTGTAAATAGTCCCGGACAACTTTGTGTTCGCCGAGCATAGCTGCGGGGACCCAACGATCGTCTTCAGAAGTGCGATCGACCTATCGTACAAGGAAATCAACAGCTGCCCTATCTCGATGGACTCGTACGCGATGAGCGAGAATCTTTGAGGGCTCGATCATCGGCTCAGGTACTGGATTAATCGTAGGATTGATATGTTGATGGTCGAGATTGGTTGTACTGGCGACGAACGGTCGTAGAAGGCTGACGTGGAACGAATCGTGAATTCGCCAGTCGGGCGGCAGTTGCAGGTGGGCGGTGACGGATGTCACCATGCAGATGATGCGGAATGGCTCGCAAAGTCTTGGTCGTAATTTATTTGTGAGAGGAATCCCCAAAATTCTGGTGTCGAGCAGGACCAATTGCCCAGGGGCAAGAGTTAAATCTCGGCGTCGTCGGTCAGCTTGCTGCTTAGCCCGTTGGTTGGCTTTGAGGATGGCATCGGCGGCTTTTTGCTGAGACTGTCGGAGATTTTCGACGAACTACTGCGACCTTGGTGCCGGGTTTCTATTGGTGGCGATAGAGGGGTTGTCGGGTCTATCCCGTAATTAAGGAAGAACGGGGACTGAGTAGTCGTGGCTGATGGGGCGTTGTTGTATGCAAACTCGATCAGTGGAAGAGAATCTTCCCACTGAGCCGGGTCTGTGCACGTCGTGCGAATTAGCTGCTCCATCATCTGATTTGTGCGCTCAGTCTGACCGTCCGATTGCGGGTGGTATGCCGTGGACAGATGCAGACGTGTGCCGTACTGCTGCCAGGTATTTGTCCAGAAGTTGGACGTGAACCGAGGGTCGCGATCGCTGATGATTGCCAAAGGAATGCCGTGTAGCCGTACAATGTTCATCAGGAATAGTTTCGCTGTCTGCTCGGCAGTGATTGTCGTCTTGCAGGCGGCGAAGTGGGCCATCTTGGTCAACCGGTCAACGACGATGAGAATCGCGTCGTTGCTGCTTGGACCAGCTAGCAGGCCAGTGACAAAATCCATCGTCACTTGTTGTCACGGTCGGCTGGGTGGCTCGAGCGGCTGTAGTAATCCCGCAGGTCGAAGTCGTGACGACTTCATGCGTTGACACGTGGCGCAGGAGGTGACGTACTGCTGGGGATGACTGTTAGTGGTAAAGAATGAGTCGGTACTGTATCCGTAGGGGAATAGGCTAGTTAGCAGCGGATTAGCTTGGGTGATTAGGACGACGGCGGTATGGACTGCGTCGGCGATGTTGCTGGCCCCCCGTTTGTAGCTGACTCTGTAGAAGAAAATTTGACTCGAGATAATCGAGCCAGCGAATCTGTCGGGGATTGAGTGTCGGTTGGGCACGGATAAACTGTAGCGATTTGTGGTCTGTTCGGACTGTCCCGTCAGCGCCCGTCAGGTAGCAGCGCCAGACCTTGAAAGCGTGGACGATGGCGAGTAACTCCTTGTCGTGGACAGGATAATTTTGCTCGGCCGGATTCAGCTTTCGTGACTCGTAGGCGATGGGTTGCAGTCCCTCGCCGAAGTCTTGTAACAGAACTGCGCCAACACCCAGGTCACTAGCGTCGGTGATGAGCTCGAATGGACGGTGAGGATCTGCAATGCGAAGAACCGGAGGTTGTTGGTGCATATTCGTTTTCACGTCATCCTGTCGTCTGTTCCCATCATTTCGTTGCATGTATTTTGTGTGCTACATTGTTTGTATGGTTTGTTGGGTTTGCATGTTCTTCTTGTGCTTGTGCAGATGTGCTTGGATTGTGCATGACATTGAGCACATTCCACCGAGCCAAGAATTGTTGGAATCGGAGCACATATGAAGAAGTTACGAAGAAATGTTTGATGGATTTGTTACAACTCATTGGAAGTCCTTGGCAGCTGCTACACCAAAGTTGGAGAGCCCTATAACGAGGAGGGACCAGCAAGTGTGGAACTTTTGTCCCCACCTTGCAGCTGCAGCATTTGGGGTTTGGAGGCCAACCTGGCACAGTGTGAATTTTGTCTTGCCAGGCTGGCTGAACCTGAGGATGGGGAGTCAAGACTTTGACTCTTGTCATGTTCTTGACCATGGGCCTCCAGGGTCCTTCCCTTTCATCCTTCCCTTCCATCCCCACCTTCCAACTGTGCTTCAATGCCTTTTCCATCATGTCTCTAAACTTGTAAGCTTCAATTATAGTGACTCTGAGGACTGTCAATTTCTCCTAGGGCAGATTACCCCCCAGTGCGCCAAACGCCATAGCTCACTCGTTAAGCTACGGAACCGAGTGATTCAACTTTCAGTGGAAAGCTGACGCTGCTATCTACAACACATCCAATTTTCAGATCGTTTCATCAATTGGAGTTTTGGATATAGCTTTTCGAAGGTCGCAAGTTTTCTGGGCGCCATAACGAAGTGCTGCAAAAATTTCCGAGCCATTGAATCATCTGCTTATAGCCTTCTCTAACCAACAAGTGGTATCAGAGCCCATTATCACACATTTGGGACCTAAAATACGATGGGAGATAAGGAGGACTCTGGTGGAGGTGATACTTCAGTCCAAGGAGGCAGCTCAACCCAAGATTCTGGCATTGCAGTGCAAGGGGGAGCGCGTACAAGCCAGGAGTCACTACTGTTACAAAGCTTGGAGTTGAACCAGAGGCATCACATCATGCATCTGCTACCGGAAACTGATTGTGGGCCCAAGGCATGGGCAGTGCTCAAGGACCTGCACGCTCCGACATCGGTTGCCGCTTCTCTCATGCTGGATCGGGAGCTGTCCATGCTGCGGTTGAGCGAGAATAAACCCGTGCAGCCCGTACTGGACAAGATGAGGGAACTCTACGCGAAATTGGCGATTGCTGGCATCACGTACCCCAAGCAGACTAAGTGTCTCAAGATGCTCAGCCTGCTGCCCGACTCTTGGCTGCAATTTATAAGCGGACTCAGCTTGCCACAAAACCAAAGTCAATGGACATTGGAGTGGATTCGCACCAAGATTCTGGAAGAAGATTTTCGTCGCTATACAGTGCGCGGAGGTGATGACAGCACCAGCGGCTATGCCATGCAAGGGACATGGAGAGATCGAGGGCGTGGCAATCGCGGTCGCTCTTACTACAACCAAGGTGGTCGCGGGACTTGGAACCAGCGGGGGCGTGGTGGCGCTGGTGCAAGAGGAAGAGGTGGTCACTCAAACAACGATAACAGTGAACCACGCTTGAGGGGAGAGTGCTGGTATTGCAAGGAAGAAGGGCATCCATGGTTTCGCTGCTCTACCAAGCCCGACTGGTGGACCCCTAACCAATCGCAAAAGGGGAATGGAGGAAAGCAACTACATGGAGGTGCCAACATGGTAGCTGATCCTGCTGAAGAAACCTCCAAGGATGACAGAGGAATGGGAAATGAGGAGAGGAATGCTGGACAGTTCTACCATGTGTGTGACAAAGATGACAGTGGCACAGCTGTTGCAAGGGCTGGAGAGGAATTGCACCCGCTTGACATGTGGGTCATGGACTCTGGTGCTGCATGGACAATGACACCACGCAAGGACTTGCTGGATGCTGTGCGAGCGCCTCCAATCTCTGAAGTGCGCTCAGCATCCGGACATGCAGTGAAGGTCGTTGGAATTGGTCGAGTTGCATTCAGAGCACCTGATGGTGGACTGGTTGTCCTAAAGGACGTGTTCCTCGTACCGGAGATGAAGGCCAATCTGATATCGCTGCGCAAGCTAGGCCAGGCCGGAGTCAGCACCACCACCAATGGATCCAAAACATTCAAGGGGCTGCGAGGAGATCGTGTGTTATGGGATTTACATGAAAGCAGAGATGTCTTCAGATCCATGTGGCAGATCCCTGCACTGATATGGGAATCAACAAAGAAGGAGTTGGGAGCAGTAAAGGCGGGATCTCGAGTCTAGGGGGAGTGCAATGCAGTTAGTGCTGCAGGAGTGACGGTTTCTGCAAGGTCGGGGGAAAATAATTGGGAAACCGCACACAGGCGTCTAGGGCATGTGGCTATGCCATTGCTGCAGCAACTGCATAAGGAAGAAGCAATAAAGGGGCTGAAGATTTATGGGCAACCAAATGATACCAAGTGCGAGACGTGTCTGCTGAGCAAGTTCACACGGTTCCCATTTCACGGCGTAGCTGGGAAAAGCAAGGCAGCACTGGAACTGGTGCACATGGACCTGGTAGGACCTTTTCCAGTTCGAGGAAGTAAGGGGGAAAGGTATTTCCTGACAATAGTTGATGAATGGAGTCGGCTGATGTGGGCATACCCGTTGAAGCAGAAGGATCATGCTGCCTCAACAATATGAGATGACTGGCTGCCGTTCGTCGAGCGACAATCTGGGCACCCATGCAAGAGCATCAGAACCGACCGAGGTGGAGAGTTTCTTGGAGGAGATCTGACTGCGTGGCTCAAGAAACAAGGCATTGAGCATCAGCTAACGACGTCCTATACCCCTCAGTCAAATGGCATTGCTGAGAAGGCTAATAGGACCATCCTGGAAACTGCGCGAGCGCTGCTGATCGAATCAGGGCTGGGGAACTCCATGTGGCCTCATGCGGTGAGGCATGCTACAGTGGCAAGGAACCGCGTACTCACAAAGGTGGCTGATGATATGTGGGTGCCGTTGGAGAGGTGGCTTGGAAAGAAGCCTCCAGTGGACATGCTTAGAGTGTTTGAATGCATGGTAGTGGCGCATGTCCCTAAACCGTACAGGACAAAGCTTGGAGCATCTGCACTGTGGAGTGTGCACCTTGGGCTGGCGGCAGAGAGCAAGGGGTGGCTACTCTGGGAGCCCTTGAAGAATGTGCTATTTGACAGTCGGGATGCCAAATTTGTGGAGAACATCATGTATGGCAAGTGGGAGAAGCAGCCGGAGGCAAGGGTCACCCAACAGCTGGAAGAGATCACTATGCACTTCGATTTGTCCGAACCTGAGAACAGTGAAGTCACTGCGCCAACGGCAAGCGGTACTGCTGAAGGAAGCAATGAGGATATTGCAGCTGATGCTGAAGTCAAGGATCCGGAGCAACAGCAGCAAGAGGCTTCCAAAACACCAAGTCTGCCAAAGCGAAGGAAACAGATTGGTGGGGGGACAAAGGATTGGGTGAAGGTGAAAGAATGGGTAAATCCAACCATCTACCCTGCACGTACCAGAATGGCAATGAGAAAGCTGCTGAGCTCTACAAGTGGAGGAGCCACAACTGAGCAGCAGGAACAGGCTCAAGGCGAAGATGCAGTGCTGTTCTTGGGTGATGACCAAGAGTCAGATGACGAGGAGCCTGCATACTGCTTTTACGCACCAATACAACCTCCGAGCATGGATCATGCGCTAGCCGGGCCTCAACGGGGGAAGTGGCTCGTTTCAAGAGATGCAGAGTACAACAGCCAGATGGAGAATCACACATGGGACTTGGTGTACTTGCCAAATGGGAAGAAGGCAATACAGTGCAAGTGGCTGGCAAAAATCAAGACGGATGAGAAAGGAGAGCCATCAGTTTACAAGAGCAGGCTGGTGGCAAAGGGGTTTCAGCAGAAGGAGAAGGAAGATTACAAAGAAGTGTTTGCCCCAACTGCTAAGTCTCCAACGCTACGTGTGCTGCTGGCGGTAGCTGCTGTGCGCAAATGGAAGGTGAAGCAGATGGACATCGTAACCGCTTTTCTGTACGGCATTGTGGAAGAGGAGGTGTACATGGTTCAACCACCTGGCTATGAGGATGGAACCGGTCATGTCTGCAAACTTAACAAGGCCATCTATGGCTTGAAGCAGGCCCCGAGATGCTGGTACAACAGGCTGGCCAGTACACTGGAAGGGATTGGATTCCGTGCGAGTGCATGCGACGAGAGCCTATTCCTGATGGGCGAGGGGGAGTCGCTTGTGCTTCTGCTGGTGTACGTGGATGACATCCTGCTCTTCAGCAGCAGTGACAAGGAGATCGATGGGGTGCAGCGGAAGCTCACAGAGCAGTTCAAGTGCAAGTCACTTGGAGAGGCAAGGTACTACCTGGGAATGCACATTGAGCGGGATACTGAACGTGGCTGGCTCAAACTGCATCAGGGACAGTACATCAACACCTTGGCTGAGAAGTACTCTCTGCAGGAAGAACGAGAAGTGGTCACACCTTTGCCTTCCGAGTTCAAACTCATAAAGGCACCTGAAGGAGAAGGAGTTGAGAGTGAAGACCAGAGGCAATTCCAATCCATGGTCGGGAGCCTCCTCTACGCTGCTGTGCATACTCGGCCTGACATCAGCTTTGCTGTGGGACAGCTGGCTCGAATAGTGCAAAATCCAAGAGAAGAGCAGTGTGGTGCAGCGGAGAGAGTGATGCGCTCTACCTCAAGTCATACCCTACAGTGGGAGTACAGTATTCAGCCTCTGCTCAACTCAGTCAAAAAGGAGTTGAATTCCTCAAAGAGAAGGTGGAGCAGCTCGGAGAAGGAAAGGTGTTCCATTCATGTCTTGCTGATGCCACGTGGGCTTCTGAGCATGAGGATTCATCATCAGTTTGGCGCACTGGGGGGGTAACCTGCCCTAGGAGAAATTGATAGTTCTCAGAGTCACTATGATTGAAGCTTACAAGTTCAAATGCATGATAGAAAAGGCATTGAAACACAGTTGGAAGGTGGAGATGGAAGGGAAGGATGAAAGGGAAGGACCCTGGAGGCCCTTGGTCAAGAACATGACAAGAGTCTAAGTCTTGACTCCCCATCCTCAGGTTCTGCTAGCCTGGCAAGACAAAATTCACACTGTGCCAGGTTGGCTTTCAACCCCCAAATGCTGCAGCTGCAAGGTGAGGACAAAATTCCCACACATGCTGGTCCCTCCTCGTTATAGGGCTCTCCAACTTTGGTGTAGCAGCTGCCAAGGACTTCTAATGAGTTGTAACAAATCCATCAAACATTTCTTCGTACCGTCTTCATATGTGCTCCGATTCCAACAATTCTTGGCTTGTTGGAATGTGCTTGATGTCATGCACAATCCAAGCACATCTGCACAAGCACAAGATGAATATGCAAAGACATGCAAACCCAACAAACCACACAAATAATGTAGTACACAAAACACATGCAACGAAATTATGCTAACAGATGACAGAATGACGTGCAAACGAATATGCACCAACAAGATGCCATCCATCAGACGGCGTACAGTTGTGCCCTGCAAATCATCGCTCGCTTGATGGTAACCGCGCTGACTGTTGATGTCGCAGAATCTTGACTGTTCCACATTGGAAGTCTTCGCCACTCGCGACAGTCACGGGTACGCCAGTTGATACTCGAGATGTATTCGTGCCGCGAATCGCGTCCCAGCAACATGTCGCAGCCGACCAGAGTTGTCGCCAACATCTTCATCCTGAAGCTGAAATTTTCGCCGCATGTAACTCGCACGTAAGGTACTCGCTCCCGAATTGACAGTGGGGTGCCGTCGACCAATCTTGCGTTGATCTCCGGCATGCAGCCCTCCAGTTGCAGTCGCAATTTGTCGCCTTCATCACATGCATCAAATTGTGGCTCGCCCCGCCATCAGCGAATATTTTTATGCGGGTGTCGCTGTTAGAAATAGATTGCAAATCCTACTTTTGTATTTGTACTTTTATATCTTAGTTTAGGTTACGAATGTTCTAGTGGGTTGGGGTGTACTCACAAAATCCCAACCTTACCCAATTGTGATCCCCCCAATCTCCAATTACCCAATTGGAGATTTCGGAGATCCCAATGGGGATTCCCTCCGATTCCCCCTTCATCAATTCTCCCTTACCTTGCCATGTACTTATAGAGCCTTGGGCTTCTTACCTAATCAATCATTTCAGCTCTATTTTTTTCATGATATCAGAGCGGCCTATCCGCACATATGGATCAAGGTCCTAATCTTAACGTGCCCGCGCTACGCGCACCTCATCGTCGGAACATTCATTTCGAGTCGTCGGAATTTTCGACGTGCTCCACTCTGCAGTCGCGCCTCTCATCGTTGACCGCCTTCGCGCTCGACCACTTTGAATTTCTCATCTCTGAAGCTTTCACGCTTCTCATCGTCGATTTCCTCCTCGGTTCTCCTTGGTCGAATCTCAATTTCGACCATCTCTTAAAACTCGTTTTCGAGTTTCCTCTCGGACCCCGGCAACATAGGCGAACTCCCCTCGCGGAATCGCCTCCATGAACGTCTCGCGTCAAGCAAGAGCAGGCACACAGGTGGAAGCGGAGCGGAGCTGGTTGCGGAGCTGGTTGCGGAGCTGTGTAGCTGCGGGACAAGGCCTGGGGGTGTGTGGGTCCGGGGTTAGACTTAGGCTCAGATTTAGTTTCAAGTCGGTGTTTAAACAAATTCCCCCCGATGCCATTTCCTTCTTAGCGGCATTTCGGCGAAGCCGTCTGAGTGATTTTCAGCAATTCTGATCGACCGGTTTCCAGAAGTGCCGCGCTGCGCACTGAAGTTCTTATCGGTGACTTAAGAGTGTCGCCTCGCGGAAATCAAACTGGAATGGCTTACTCAACCACTTCACTCGCCAACCCGATCCCGCTCCTTCGTCTCGAGCCGGACGGTACATGCTCCAACTACAAGGCTTGGCGCTATGGTGTCGACAAGCACCTCCTCAGTCGCGAGGTGAAGGGGCTCAAGCTCACCGACGTTCTTCTCAACATAGGTGATGGCAAAGAACTTCCTAAACCCGAGAGGTCCGCTGATCCAGCTAATGCCGCGGCCGAAGCAGTTTATGCAGCTGCACTTCTCAAGTACAAGAATTGGGAGAAGGCCGATGGTGCGGTCATAGTCTTCATGGGCACCACTCCTCCCGAACTCGTCGAAACCTACCACAACTACCCGTCTGCCAACGCCATTCGGCTCTACCTCGAAGACCGCTTCCTAAACAAGACTTCAGTGGGATTTGCTATACTCATCCCCAGCATGTTCCAAGTGCGGCTCGAGGACTCGCCAGGCATGGCGGACTATGTCACCAAGGTGCAGTCCATTCATGGTGAACTCAAACAGTTGGGGATAGTCTTCCCCGAGCAAGCCCCTGCAGCCGCTCTCCTAGTCGGCCTCACTCCGGCATACGAAGTCACACGCAAGATGCTCTTGGGCCTTGCACCTGCAGACCTCACATTTGCCAAGGTCTCATCTGCACTCCTTTCTGTCGAAAAGGACAACAGCGCTCAAGCCAAGGCCAATGCGATCCGCGCTCCAGTGCCTCAAGCCTATGCCGCTTCGGCACCATTCTAGCGCAAACGCTTCCCCCCGTGTCCCTACATCATCAAGCGCGGCCCTCGTGCCGGCCAGGTGTGTGGCAGCACCAACCACACCCTTGCCTCCTACTTCAAGAAGGATGACGAGTGGTATGTCATCAATGGGACCGCCTCGAAGCCGCCAAGCTAGATGGTCAATCGTGCTCCTCGCAAGGTCAATCAAGTCAAAGCGCAGGAATCCGTGCAGGCTGCTGTAGCTCCCCCTCCTGATGTGCGCCTCAACATGTTGTTCCCTGGCACTGCCATGATTAATGAGACAATTTCGCAGTGTCCTGGCTGACAAAGCACCTGAGCCACAATAGAGTTCACCCTCGACAGTGGGGCCACTCACATGGTTCTCAAGGATGAACACTCCTTCAAGCCATACGAGACACCAATCCGTCTACTAGGAGCAGACTCCAGTTTCACAACACATGCCAAGGGCTCCTCCACAGTTCCATGCCCAGCTTTTCCTTTGGGCAGTGTGACTGGCATGTGTGTTCCCACACTACGCCACAATCTCGTGGCCCAACACGAGCTCCAACGGGCAGGCGTCACCACGATCTTCCCAGCACACTCGGATCAGTGTGACCTCCTTGACCCTAAGTCCAACAAGCTCCTAGCACGCTTCACACTCAACAGCAGCAAGCTCTGCACGCTGCGTTCACCTACACCTCTCGCCGCCCTCTCCCAAGCGCAGGCTGCCAACACTACTACGTGTTCGTGTCGCAGCTTCGCCAACCCAACCATCCTCTACCATCATCGCTTGGGTCACCCCAACATCCGTATGTAAGAAATAGAGTTGAAATGATTGATTAGGTAAGGAGCCCAAGGCTCTATAAGTACATGGCAAGGTAAGAGAGAATGGATGAAGGGGGAATTGGAGGGAATCCCCATTAAGATCTCCGGAATCTCCAATTGGGTAATTGGAGATTGTGGGGATCACAATTGGGTGAGGTTGGGATTTGTGACTACACCCCAACCCTCTAGAACATTCATAACCTAAACTAGGATATAAAAGTACAAATACAAAAGTGGTATTTGCAGTCTATTTCTAACACACCCCCATAGACTGCAAACCCGATCAAGGAGCACATCGCCCCATGGAACGGAGAAGGCGATGGTGGTCAGCCTTGCCGAGAGCCTTGGTAAAGAGGTCGGCGAGGTTGCAATGTGAGGCGATGTGCCGTACCGTCAGCTGGTCACTCTGAACAAGATCTCGGATGAAGAAATGACGAAGTTCGATGTGCTTGGTGCGAGAGTGGAACACAGGATCCTTGGTACTCTGGTTGTCACACCACAGGGTGGGCGACTGCTGGGGGTAGCCTAACTCAGCGAGGAGAAAGGAGAGCCAGCGTGCCTCTTGAGCAGCCATTGTGCCCGCGTAGAGTTCGGCCTCGCAGGACGACAGGGAGACTGCAGAGGACCGAGTGGAGCACCAGCTGATGACTCCGCTACCAAGGGTGAAGCAGTACCCTTGGGAGGAGCGTTCCAAGGGATCGGCTCCGCCTCTCGCCTGGGGACCAGCCGCCTTCTCCATCCGGTGTTCGGTCACCTCGCCTCCTCCTGCCGGGGGTGATGTCCCCTCCATCCGTATTCCCCCATGTGCACTTCTGGAGGACAGGCATGAGGAGCTGTTTGACCTTCACGCGGTCTGCCAATTTCTCTCTCATATCTTCCCGGAAATTACTGACTGCCCTTCCCTCAACTTCACTGAGAACCCGACCATTCCGACTCCTTGTACAAAAGATGAAGCTCTCTCGGGGCCTTATATGAAGGAGTTGAAGGCAGCAATGGATGTGGAGAACGAGGCGCTCATTCGCAACAACAGCTTTGGAGATGTCGTTCCCCCTTCCGGTGTTAACATCGTCGGCGGAAAATGGATCTTCCGAGTCAAACAACTCCCAGGCGAAGCTCCACTGTTCAAGACACGATACATGGCAAAGGGTTTCACCCAGAAGGAGTATCTCGACTTCTTCGAAACATTCTCACCCACGGCCAAGCTCCCGACTGTGCGCGCTCTTCTTGATATAGCCGCTCGCGGCAACTTCGAGATCAAGTCCATGGACGCCTCCTCCGCTTTTCTCCAAGGCCAGCTAAAGGAGGATGTTCACATGGAACGCCCATCGGGGTTTCCTGGGACTTATCCTGCCAACACAGTGTGGAAGCTGAAGCGCCCTGTGTATGGCCTCAAGCAGGCTCCTCGTGAGTGGCACAACAAGGTGAAGGAAGTCCTCCTCGCACTTGACTTGGTCCCACCCGCCCACCCGTGCTTCTGCCTTGGAACCTAGCCTTCCCCGTCTCCTAGCTCCTAGCTGCCCCATGGGCCCCGCCGCCCCGTTGCCTTGCTGTCCCCACAACCCTGTTCCCTAGCGCCTAGCTGCTCGTGGCCCCGCGGCCCCCATCACCTAGCGCCTAGCCCACGCGGCCCCGCTCCCCTAGCTCCTAGTCGTTAGTGTTAGAAACAGAAAGGTTCAGTTTATTGATGAAGGAAAGGCATTACATAGGAAGAGAGAGATGAGCTAGGAAGGGAAGGTTGGAAGGGAAGGGGGGGTTAGGACCAATCACAAGGGAGGGAGGCTCCTTCCAAATGTGGTTGACCACCAGTTGGAGGTGGTCCAAGTGTGGTGTACCACCAGTGGTTTAGCCAACCCACTTGTGGTGCCCCCACAATTGTGGTCCTTGTGTTTGGGGGCTCCAACCACAATTGGGTTGGATTGACACCCCAACACAGGTGTACACCCAACTAGGGATGTAAACACAATATACACAACTAGCATAGCATGGTATATTCTAACACAACCCCATAGCATGCAAAGCTAGTGTATATGTAGGGTACAACCCCAGAATCAGGAAGGGGGGCGGGGCCCAAGGCCGAGAAGGCGGAGGAGGGCAGAGTGCGCGGTCTTCGGGAGGGCCTTGGTGAAGATGTCGGCCAAGTTGGCCTCTGCAGCGATCTTGCGGACCACCAAGTGACCTTGCTGGACCAACTCTCGAACGAAGAAGTAGCGGAGTTCAATGTGCTTGGAGCGGCCATGGAAGACAGGGTCCTTTGTGAGATGGATGGTGCTGGCGTTGTCGCACCAGAGGGTGGGACAGCACTGAGGAGCACCGATCTCAGCAAGGAGGAAGGTGAGCCAGCGAGCCTCCTGAGCGGCCATGGTGCAAGCATAGAGCTCAGCCTCGCAGGATGAGAGGGCGATGGAGGAGGAGCGAGTGGAGCGCCAGCTGATGAGGCCGCTGCCAAGGGTGAAGCCGTAGCCTTGAGAGGAACGGCGATCCGGCTGGGAGTCAGCCCAGGAGGAGTCACTGAAGCCAGAGAGGAGGGGAGGAGAAGAGCCTCCGAGGGTGAGGACATAGTCCTTGGTACCACGGAGGTAGCGGAGGACCCGCTTCGCTGCAGCCCAGTGCTCATCAGTGTGGCGACCGGTACCGACGAATCGAGCAAGAACACTGATGGGGTAGGCAAGGTCGGGGCGGGTGCACATCATAGCGTACATCAGCGAGCCGACGAGCTCAGCGTAAGGATGGTCAGAGGAGGAGGGAGCAGGAGGAGGGGCAAGCTGGTGGTCGGTCTGCAGGGGAGTGGTAACCGGCTTGGCCTGCGCCATGTCGAACCGCTGCAAGACTTGGTCGATGTAGAAGGACTGAGAGAGGGTAATGGTGCGCGATGTGCGGTCCCGGGTGATGGTCATGCCCAGATAGTGCTTGAGCTCACCCAGGTCCTTGCACTTGAGGCGCGCATGCAGGGCGTCCTTCACTTGCTGCATGGCGGCAGCATCGTCAGCGAACAGGATCATGTCGTCGACATACACCAGGATGAAGAAGCGGGTGGGAGAGGAGCGAAGGAAAAGGCTGGCATCAGACTGAGAGGCATGGAACCCCAAGGACTGCAGAGTGGCGGCCAGCTTGTTGTGCCACTCGCGAGGAGCCTGCTTGAGGCCATAAACCGGGCGGCGCAGCTCCCAGACTGTGTTGGCAGGGAAGGCTGCATGAAAGCCTGGAGGCCGCCGCAAGAGGACCCGCTCCTGGAGCTCGCCTTGCAGGAAGGCGTTGGAGACATCCATGGAGGCAATCTCCATGCCAATGCGAACAGCATAGTCGAGGATGGCACGGAGAGTTGGGAGCTTGGCAGTGGGAGAGAATGTCTCCCAGTAGTCGATGCCATGGGTTTGGGTGAAGCCCTTGGCACAATACCGGGCCTTGTAGACCGGCTCCTCACCCGGCAGCTGCTTCACTCGGAACACCCAGAGGCCTTCAACAATGACGTCTTCAGGAGAGGGGACAATGTTAACGAATGAGGCATTGCGGATGAAGGCCTCGCATTCAGCAAAGATAGCCTGGATCCACTTGGCAGCATCGGGGCAGGTGATGGCCTCAAGGAAGTTGGACGGAGTGAATCTGGTGGGAGCGGTAGCGATGCCAAGGATGAGGAGGCCAAGGAAGCCCGGGTAGAGAGGCGTGAGGGAAGGTGTTTGTTGCTGAACGCCAATGAGCTCCTCATGGGAGTCCTCAATGAAGGGAAGGGAGGGTAGGGGTGGTGTTGGCCAACCCCATGGATGGCCTATGAGTGGGCCGTGAGAGCGAGTGTGGATGCGTGGGAGGATGAACGGAGAGGTGGTGCGGCGATGCCGATGAGGTTGCTGCAGTGGCTGCTGCTGCTGCTGCTGCTGCTGCTGTGGCTGCTGCTGGTGCTGCTGGTGCTGCTGCTGCACCTCCTGCTGCGGCTGCTGTTGCTGCACTGCCTGCGGTTGCTGCTGCTGCTGCTGCTGCTGCTGCTCCATCCGCTGCTGCTGCTGCACCTGCGGCTGCTGCTGTTGCTGCTGCTGCTGCTGCTGCTGCTGCTGCTGCTGCTGCTACTGCTGCTGCTGCTGCTGCTGGTGCGATGAGGCAGAGTGAGCAGGGGAGTCAGGGACAGCTGGGTCGTAAATGTCACCTGAGGAAGGAGGAGGGGGAGGAGCAGGATTTGGACGAGGAAGGGGAAGGGTTAGGGCCCCAGAGGTCCATGTGGACGAGGTCAAGGGGGGCAGCAGCAAAGGAAGGATGACTGAGGTGAGGCTGTTGTTTGAGCTTTCCATGAATGCATGTGGCGCATGGGGGAGCGGAAGAGGACGGGAGGGGAGGAAGAGTGGGGGGAAGACTGTCAAGCAAGCGGGAGGAGATGGCTTTACGAAGTGTGGGAAAGTTCATATGACCAAGGCGGTGGTGGATGAGAACAGCGGGGTGGGACAGTGCGCGACAAGAGCATGGGGAGGAGGTGGAGTTGGAGGAAGGTGGCTCTAGAGGGAGGGGAGGGGGGAGAGTGGAGGTGCCTGCACGAGTGGTCACGTGGCATGAGGAGGGGCGGGGTGTGCGGAGGATGTACTGACGAGAGCGAGGGCAAAGTGGGAGGTGATGAAGGAGGCGGCGAGTGGGGCCGTGGAGGAGGTCACAGTAGGTGGCAGAGGCGGGGAAGAGGGTAGTGATGCCAGCCTGTTGGAGTTCACGAATGGAGAGCAGGTTATGACGAAGGGAGGGAATGTGGAGACCAGTGACCACTCCAGAGGGGAAGGGGGGGCAGGGGAGGGTGGAGAGATGAGTGCAAGGGATGGAGAAGCTGGAATCAGCACCATGAACGTTGGTGGGGAAAGGGAGGGAGGTGAGGGTGCCGGCATCTTTGAGGGCAGTTTCAGTGGCACCACTATCGAGAACAAAGTCAATCGTGAGTGAGGAGGGAGCTGAAGACACGGGGTACTGGAAATCACTGGCATTAAAAACAGAGGGATACATGGAAGTGGAAGCAGGGGAAGAACGCATGAGCTCGCCTAGAAAGCTGGAGTGGGAGGCGGGAGCACTAGGGGAAGGAGAGCCCCAGAGGGGAAAGCCAGGAGGACCTGGTGTGGCTGTGGCAGCCATGGCGGCGGTGCCAAAGCCAAGCTGCTGCTGCTGCCATGCAGATGCTGCGGCTGTGGCTCCTGCAGCTGCGGCTGCAGCCTGACCACCAGAGCCCCACTGCTGCTGCTGCTGCAGCAGCTGCAGCTGCTGGAAGCGGCGAAACTGCTGCAGCTCCTGGGGAGTTATGGGGTCAGCGACAGAGGAGGAGGAGGAGGAGAGCTGAAGATGAGAGGGGAGGAAAGACGGAAGAGTTTTGACATCCTGGAGAGAGGGGCGGGGATCCATGGCAGACCAGCGTGGGGGGGTGCCAGTGTTGCCGCGCTCGAACCAGGCGTCATCATACGCCTTGAAGCAGGTTGCGGGGGGATGGTTGGTTTGGGTGCAGTGCTCACCCGCCCTGGGACCAAAACGGCGAAGATAGGAACATGGGGGAAGAGTGCCAGGGCGGCCACCACGGCTACCAGATGAGCCACCACTGCCTCCACCACCACCACTGCTGCCACCCTCGACCCCGCCACCACCGCCGCCGGCTCCGCTGCCCCCACAACCGCCACCTCCACCACCTCCCTGAGGGTTGGTGCGGCCGCCACGTGGGCGCCCGCCACGACGCGGCTGTGTGACTGCAAGCTGGGGGTTTTGGGACGCGGTGGAGTTCAGGCCGGAGGGGGGGGTTGAGAGAAGGCGGGCCTCAGCGTCAATGATCCATTGGACCACAGTGTCAAGGGAGGCGCGGGGCTGAGCCTCAGTGAAGGCAATGACGCGCACTTCATATTGAGGGGAGAGGCCTTCGAGGAGACGGTAGATCTGAAGGTTGGGGGGGAGAGTAGTCTGGCGAGCCTCAAGGCGGGAGGCAAGGTCCAGGAGACGGCTGGTGTAGTCAACAGCGCCAGCACTATGTTCGATCGTGATGCTGAAGTATTCCTTGAAGAGCGGTCCGACAGCATCGAAGTCGGTGCGTTCGAACATTGCCTCAAGCTCGAGCCAAATCTGGCGGGCCTGGAAGTTGCGCATGAGCGCAGACGGGATGGCAAGGAGAAGGGCACCAGTAGCACGGCTGTCCGCCTCGAGCCAGGCGCGACGACGCTCAGCAAATCGCGCAGAGTCAGCGGCATAAGCGGCGGCGGTAGCGGCATGCTGGGTGCGGAGGGTTGCCGACCGCTCGTGTTCCTCCAACGCGATCAGGTAATCAGTATGGAGCACGAGGAACTCACGACGCTGAGTAAGGAAGAGCTGCTCAACTTCAGCGGTGGCAGCGCGAGTGCTGGTGCCAACGGGTACTATGGGGGGCGAAGGTTCCTCGCCGGGATGGGGAATGAGAGGGGGGGGATCGCCAGGGTGAGGCGGCGGGTCCCCAAGGTCACCCTCTAGGAGACCAAGCATGATGTCCAGGAGGCGGAACGGCAGGACATAAGCACTGCCGAGGACGCGGTGGAGGCTGCCGACGAAGGAATACCAGTTGGTTGCTGAGTTGTCGGCAGCGCGCACGAGATGATCGAGGGTCGAGACGTCGACGGGAGGGGGGAAGGATGACATTGGTGACACGGAGTGGGAGGAAGGCGACGGCGGGTGGACCCGCGGTGGCCGGGAGGGAGCGGCGGCGGGTGGACCCGCGGCGGCTCAAAGAGGAGGGGAGGATGGGGATGGCTGTAGATACTGCTGCTGCTGCTGCTGCTGCTGCTGCTGCTCCTTCTGCTGCTGCTGCTGTTGCTGTTGCTGCTGCTGCCGCTGCTGCTGCTGCCACTGCTGCTGCTGCCGCTGTTGCTGCTGCTGCTGCTGCTACTCCTTCAGCTGCTGCTGCTGCTGCTGCTGCTGCTGCTGAGTCTGCTGCTCCTTCTGGTGCTGCTGCTGCTTCTGCTGCTGCTGCTACGGCTGCAGCAGTGGTAAGGCGGCGATGAGCAGGTGCAGGTGAGGAGGCAAAAGATGGGGAAAGATGGCAGTTAGCTGATGAAAATAGGACTTGGTAGAAATTTCAGTAGCACTTCGTGATCACATCCAGGAAAGTGTGCAAACTTCGGAAAGCGATATCTGACAATCCAAGCGATGAAACAGTCCGAAATTTTACGACGTTGTAGCTGACACCAAGAGCGTTCTTTTGCAAGTCGAATCACTCAATTCTGTCAACTATCGAGCGAGCTATGGCGTTTGGCGCATTGGGGGTTTTTGAAAATCCACCCAACAGAAAACTAGTTGAGAGGCGGCGGCTAGGAGTCTAGCAGCGGCGATGGAGGGGACGGCAATGAGGTGCACGTCGGAAGGGGACGGGGCGGAAGCGTGGGGAAGGATCGGGATTTAAAAGTTGGCGTGAGCCATTATTGCTCTATACCATGTTAGAAACAGAAAGGTTCAGTTTATTGATGAAGGAAAGGCATTACATAGGAAGAGAGAGATGAGCTAGGAAGGGAAGGTTGGAAGGGAAGGGGGGGTTAGGACCAATCACAAGGGAGGGAGGCTCCTTCCAAATATGGTTGACCACCAGTTGGAGGTGGTCCAAGTGTGGTGTACCACCAGTGGTTTAGCCAACCCACTTGTGGTGCCCCCACAATTGTGGTCCTTGTGTTTGGGGGCTCCAACCACAATTGGGTTGGATTGACACCCCAACACAGGTGTACACCCAACTAGGGATGTAAACACAATATACACAACTAGCATAGCATGGTATATTCTAACACTCTGCACGGCAGAAACGAAGGACGCCGGAGGCCAACTCGCCACCACGGTTGGAGTGAAGACGCAAAACAGGAAGGCCGCGGTGCACTCGCGCAGAGACCAGCCACGGGATAAGAGCGTCAGGCACGTCGGCCTTCCGCTCCAGGGGAAACACGGTGGTGTAATGAGGGTAGTCGTCAACAAGGACGAGGAAGTAACGCTCACGACACGGCCCATGAACTTGGGCAGGGCCCTAGACGTCCATGTGCAAGGTCTGCAAGGGTGCGGTGGTGGGGGGGAACGAGGAGGAATGAGGGGCGCGGCGGAGCCGGCCCTCGATGCAGGGAGAACACGGCGGCGCGGGTGAGGGGGGGAGCGCAGGGAACGATCCAGGGAGGCCAGACCGTGCTGAGACATATGACGAAGACGGGGAAGGGCAGGATGACCTAGGCGGTGGTGCCACAGTAGTGTCGGGTGAGTGAGCGACTGACACGAGCAAGATGTAGCTACCTGAGGAGACACAGTCCCCTGGGGAGACGTCACAACCGGGGAGGGGGGGGGGGGGGGGGCAGTGTCCAGTGTGAACAGGCCAGACACCGGGTCCCGGGGGAACGTGGAGAGGGGAGCACCTGTGGCGGCCTCGGTACAGACAGCGTACCGCTCGTGATCAGGGAACGTAGTGGTGACGCCAAGGTCCTAAAGGCAGCCGACACCAACTAGGTTCCTAGAAAATGAGGGGAGGTGCAGGTCTGTAAGTGAGCCCGAAGGAACTGCTGGACAGGGAAGGGTAGTGGAGCTACGAGCTACGACAGGGCCGGAGGAAGGGTCAGCCAGGGAAACTGCGGCAGGAGCTGGAAGCGGTGTGAGAGTAGTAGAGTCCTGGAAGAAGCACCGAGAAGCGCCAGAGTCAAGGGTGAAGGAGAGCATGGCATGGTATATTCTAACAATTAGTGGCCCAGTTGGCCCCCGTCACCTTGCGCCTAGCCGCCCGCGGCCCCGTTGCCCCGCCCCGTCGCGCTAGTTGCCCCGCTGGCCCCGCAGCCCCATCGCCTAGCACCTAGCCGCCCGCAACCCCGTTGCACCGCCTTGTCACGCCTAGCTGCCCTGCTGGCCCCGCGGCCTTGTCGCGTAGCGCCCAGCCGCCCCGTCGCCTAGCCACCCCGTGGCCCTGTAGCCCAGCCGCCCCGCGGCCTCGTCGTCCAGCCGCCTTGCGACCTTGTCGTCCCAGCTGCCCTGCGGCCCCGTCGCCCAGCCGCGCTCTGCGTCCCTGCTGCTGCCCCGCGACCCCGTCTCCCAGCTGCTCCATGGCTCCGTCATCCCAGCTGCCTCGCGGCCCCGTCGTCCAGCCGCCCCGCGACCCGTCGCCCCTCCGCGCCACGGCCCCGTCGCCCAGCCGCCCTGCGGCCCCGCTGCCCATCCGACCCGGGCCCCGTCGCCCTGCTGCTCCGCGGCCCCGTCACCCAACCGTCCCACGGCCCCGTTGCCCAGCTACCCCGCGGCCCCGTCTCCCAGCTGCTCAGCCGCCGTAGTTCCCGGTCCCCGCCCACTTCACCTGCCCTCTCTACCGTCCTGCACCGCGTCCCACCGTGCCGCATCGCTCAGCACCGCACTGCACCGCGCCCCACCGCACTCTACCATACAGCACTCCTTTCCATCATTCCTCGTCCCTCTGTCGCCGTCTGTTCGCGGTTGCAGCGGCCTTCATGGCGATATCAGTGCTGCGCTTTGACGCAAAGGGTCAGCTGATTGAGTTTCACTCCTTGTTCGTCGATCTCCGCCGTCATCTCACTGGTCAGCAGCAGGACGGCCACTCCCTAGTCGTCCACATTGACAGTACGCTCCCCTGCCTTGACCTTCCTGTTGCTCTCCCCGCTGACCCCAGGACTGCTGACTGTGAGTCCACCGCCGCTGCTGCCCTTGCCCGTGCTGTCTGGCTGTCACGTGACATTGTTGCTCAGCTTGCGATTAGCCATGCCCTACCCCTGTCGGAGCGCCCCCGCTTTAAGTCGGTCAGGACTGCGTAGGAGTTCCTAGAGGCTGTTGTCGAGCGTTACTCCACCCCATCCTCTGCCTCTGCCGGCCGCCTGATCCTTCCCATGCACTTCCCTGATCTCGCGTCTTTCCCCACTATCGCTGACCTGGCCACGCACGTGCGCACGCTCGACGCTAGCTGGCGCGCAGCCTGCACTGAGGCCCAGCTTCGTGTGTTCTAGCCCCCTATCTGCTCTACCCTTTACCTGCTTGCCACCCGCCTCCCCGACCGCCTTGCCACTGCCCGCGACCACTTTCTTACTCTGCACCCCGTTGACCTCACCCTCTCCGACTTTGTCAACACCCTGTTTGCCATAGAGACCCGTTAGCGCTCTATCGCCCAGTCTAGTGGTTCTGCGCCAATCCCTATCTTTCAAGGTTGTGCCCTCGCCCACTGCACTTACTCTGACGATTCTGCGGCAGTAGCTGAGATAGCCCCTGCTGCAGAGACCGCTGCCGCGGTGGCAGCAGCGCAGTCTCGTTATGGTAAGGCTCGCCGCCCCAAGGCTGGGCGTGGCGAGGGGAGTGGAGGAGGGGGTGGAGGTGGTGGTGGAGGTGGTTCGTCCACTGGTGGTAGTACAGACGAGGGGGCTGGGGCTGGTGCCTCGGAGCACCAGCCCCAGCACAAGCAGCAGCAAGCACCACACCTTGACCAACAGTAGTAGCAGCAGCAGAAGTCGCAGCGGAGGGTCGGCCGCCTCCCGCCTGGGTGGCCTGGCGCTGGTGGTGGTGGTGGTGGTCATGCCCGTAGCTCGTCGTCGGGTGGTGGTGCGAGTGACGGGTGCTGCCAGTACCAGCTCCAGACCGGTCCTCGTTGCAGCCTCGTGTGCGGTAAGATCAGCCATACCCCCACTCGCTGTTTCAGTCAACTAGACAACCTGTTTCGTCTCCGCTTCGGCCCCGCGCCAAACCTCCGCGACAGGCACAGTCTACTTTGCCGTGGTGTTAGGATCTTTGATATGGACAAGGATGAGATTCGCTCTGCTTTGTATGTGCTGTATGTCGATGACTCTAGTGTGACTGGCTCCTATTACCCCGTGTTGCCTAGTGTAGGTGTGCCCAGTGTGCCTAGTGTAGGCTTTCCTGCTGCATCAAGCATAGGACCCTTTGCTTTGTATAGCCTTGGATCCACCCTAGCTCCTCTACATCCAGCCTCTACTGCCGCGCTCTCCTTCACTCTCGACTCTGGTCTCAGTGTTTCTTTCGGGACCACACTACGCTTATGCCGCTTGCCATCCCTGCCGCAATCGCCCTTTCAGACCCAGGTTGGAGTGTCTACCCAGGTTGCTGCGGCTTGCTCGTGTCGGTCGCTTACTGACCCGTCGCTTCAGTGGCATCACCGCCTAGGTCACCCCACCCTCACACGTCTCCGTCACATGTCTCAGCACGGTCTTGTCTTAAGTTGTTCCCTGCGCTCCCCCCCTCGGCAATGCTTCCGTGCACCCCTTGCATCGAGGGCCGGCTCCGCCGTGCCCCTCACTCCTCCTTGTTCCCCCCCACCTCTGCACGACTGCAGACCCTGCACATGGATGTCTGGGGCCTCGCCCGCGTCCATGGGCCACGTCGCGAGCGCTACTTCCTAGTGCTTGTTGATGACTACACACGCTACACCACCATATTTCCCCTGGAGAGGAAGGCCGACGTGCTCGACGTTCTTATCCCGTGGCTTGTCTCTGCGCTTGTGCACCGAGGTCTCCCTGTGTTGCGTCTTCACTCTGACCGTGGTGGTGAGTTCGCCTCTGGCTGCCTTGGTTGCTTTTGTCGTGCGGAGGGCATCACCTTGACGTACACCCGGCAGGACTCCCCGCAGCAGAATGGGGTCGCTGAGCGATACATCGGCTTGGTCATGGAGGTGGCTCGTACCTCCATGATCCATGCCGGTGCACCCCATTGTCTGTGGCCACTCGCGTTCGCTACGCCACCCACCAGCTTCACCTGTGGCCGCACCCTCAGCGGCCGCCGGTTTCACCGACTCTCCTATGGACTGGGTCTCCTGGTGACGTGTCTGCGTTCCACGTCTGGGGCTGCCTTGCTCACGTTCGGTCCTCTGGCACTTGCCTTCTCACCGGTTCTTTCACTCTCGTGACGTCACTTTTGACGAGTCCGTCTCCTTCTACCACTGCATTCCCCACCGTGGTCCCCCGGTCACCCCCCCCCCCACCAATTCCTGGTTCCCCCCCTTCCCCAGGTCGCCCCTGTTCCCCCCCCTCTCCGCCCTGCCCCGTCTGGTGTATTTCACGTACCCCCCTCCCGTCGGTTGTCCATGCTGAGGGGTCTGCTGACTCTCGCGGCTCGGCAGAGTCCCTTCCCCCGCTTGTCCCCGCCTCGGTCTCTCCTCCCCTGTTGCCGCCATTGCTGTTACAGCCGCAGCCACAGCCGCCTGTGCAGCTGCCGTCGCCGCCGCAGTAACAGTCGCAGCCGCCATCGTCACCGCCACTGGGGTTTGTGCGTTCTGGGGGTGCTGGAGAGCGTGCTGGAGCAGGTACTGGAGCAGGTTCCCATTCTAGGGTTGCTGCTGTGGGACTTCCCTGAGGGAGCTGTGGTCCTGCTGGAGGTTCTGGTGTTGGCGCCGCGC